GAGCAGAAGAACTTGAGGGGTAAAATCAAGATGTCAGCAGAGATGCATTCATTTAGGGGACTTAATGAGGAGAGTCTGGTTTATTGTCTTTTCCAGGTTCTAGAGGTTGTTCACATCCCTTGGCCCTATTTTTCCATCTTCAAAGCCAACATTGAGTTGAGTCTTTCTCATGTCATATCATTCCAAGCTCTCTTTGGACTCCCCCTTCTACTTTTAAGGATACTTGTAATTACATTGGGCCTACACAGATAATACAGGATAATCTCCCTATTTTAAGGTCAGGTGATAGCAAACCTTAAACTTCCCTCTTGCCACATAACATCATATTCACAGATCCTAGAGATTAGGGCATAGACATCTTTGGGTGGGTGGGAAAATTTCTGCCTACTACATTTCCCTAGGCTAAAAATGTGGTTTCTGGTGAGGGTTGCCTTCTTGCTGTATACTCACGTGGCAAAAAGAGTGAGAAAGCTCTTAGGTGTCTCTTAATAGAAGGGTACTTATAATCCCATTATAAGTGCCCCACCATCATGACCTCATCTAACTCTAGTTACCTCCCAAAGGCCCCATCCCCAAATGCCACCCCAGTGGAGGTTAGGGCTTCAATATGTGAATGGGAGCAGGGGACAAAAACATTCAGTCCATAACAACATGTAATGGAACTACCATAAGAAGAAGAGAAAAAGGAACAGAAGAAATATTTGAAGCAATAATGACTGAGTTTTTTCCAAAGTTAATCATAAACACCAAGCTACAGATCTAGGAAGCCCAAGAGAATGTGAAGCAGAATAAACAAAACATCTACACCTAGGCATATCATATTCAAACTGCAGAAAACCAAAGAAATAAAATCGTAAGCTAGAGGAAAATTTACTTTGCCTATATGGAAGCCAGAATAAGAATTACATTGGTCTTCTCTTCAGAAAGCATGCAAGCAAGAAGAGAGTAGAGTGAAATATGTAAAATGTTGAAAAAAATCTCACCAACCTAGAATTCTATATTCAGCAAAATTATCCTTCAAAAATGAAGGAAAAAACAAAAGATTTCCTCAGACAAAAAGTGGGAGAATTTGTCGCCCATACACATCATTTGCCAAAAAAAGTTCTTTAGAAAGGAGCATAATGATATAGGTCAGAAACTGTGATGTGCATTTAAAAAAAAAAAAAAGAGCCAGCCAGGTGCAGTGACTCACGCCTGTAATCCCAGCACTTTGTTAGGCCAAGGCAGGCAGATCGCCTGAGGTCAGGAGTTCGAGACCAGCCTGACCAACATGAAGAAACTCCATCTCTTAAAAATACAAAATTTGCCAGGGATGGTAGTGCATGCCTGTAATCCCAGCACTCTGGGAGACCGAGGGGGGTGGATCACAAGGTCAGGAGATCGAGACCATCCTGGCTAACATGATGAAACCCCATCTCTACTAAAAATACAAAAATTAGGCGGGCATGGTGGTGGGCACCTGTAGTCCCAGCTGCTTGGGAGGCTGAGGCAGGAGAATGGCCTGAACTCGGGAGGCGGAGCTTGCAGTGAGCAGAGATTGCACCACTGTACTCCAGCCTGAGCGACAGAGCGAGACGCCATCTCAAAAACAAAAATAAAAATAAAGAAAATAAAGCATTATATTCTACCACCCAGAGATTATGATTGATGACTTTTATATCTGTACATCTTTTTCCATGTTTATATATGTGTGTGTGTGGATATATGCATACACACATATACCTTTTACAAAAATCTGATCATATTATGTATGGTATTTTATAACCGATTCTCTTCAGTTTATAATCTTCTCCTTTCCCCGTCATTACATTTTAATATTACCTAAATTCAGCCCAAATTCAAATTAGCCCAGTTTTTCCATAATGTCTTTAAAATTGATTTGCCCAAACCAGAGCTATACGATACCTATGGTTGTTATGCCTCTTAATTTTTTATTCTAGAGCAGTCCTACTGTCTCTTCCCTGCCCCCCCCCCCCCCCCCATTAAACAGTCTTTTTGATGAGTCCAGGCTAGTTGTCTCACCCTCTGAAATTTTGTTTGTGTCTTCGTTATGTCACTTCCTTTGATACCTACATTCCCTATATTTCCTGTAAACTGCAAGTTAGATCAAAAGGCTTGAAGGATTCAAGTTAAACATTGGGGGATAAAATTAATATTAGGTTACAGGAGACACTGATATCTGGGTGACCCACTATTAAATCACTTTCTTAGTATGATGACAGTCTGATGCCTCCATTGAACAGCTAATTTTTCCCCTTGTTACTAACTTTGTGGTGTCACTTTGGCACTATGTGAATGGCCAGTTTCTCATCAACAAAATACGTAATGTTTGATAATCTTTTTATGGGTCAGACATTTTATCAAGGGTGACAGAATGATTTTATAAGTATTTCATTCCTTCTACATTATTAACTGACATTTTTATTTATAGTAGAGTTTTCCCTCATCAAATATGTCAGTTTGGTCACTTCCTACTAGGAAGTTATTAGTACTTAGTTTTTTTCCCTTTATTTACCAATTTTTAAGTCCAAGGAGTGGTTTAATAGGCACTTCAAATTGTGACATGAGATTTTAGGACTTTCTCTATGTTAGTATTGTAATAGACTTACAGATTTTCATTGAATCAGGGTTTTAATCCACCATAGTCATTACTTTTTTTCATGCTCAAATTGACACATCTTTGGCTTGTGTAGACATCTAAGTTTTGCGTCTACATCTGTTTGCCATGACCCTATTAATTTTTGAATGCTTGCTTTCTGAGCAAAATTAATTGTTCCAGGCTCACTTTGTACCTTCCCTGTTCTTAGATCTGGTCGCGAGCATTTCTGAAGGAGCTTTGGTTCTTTTTAATGGAGACTAGTACTGGAAAACAAAATCTGGGTGCTAGGGGTGTCCTTATCACTAGAGTAACACTGCCTCTAGGACATTTCCTGGACAGAGCTCAATGGACAGTTCTTTTCTAAAAATTCATGAGTTCCTATTGATGTATTCAATTCAGTTTTAACATGATAGCGTTTATTTTTAATAGTTAATTTGTTTCTGCATTTATTTTGGTTAATTCCTTCCATGTGTTCTCCTTTGGTTCATTTATTTATTTACATATTTTAAGTTGTAGTAGATTGTATCAGAAGTGATTCCAGGAAGCACAAGGAGGGATTATTGAAACAGGAAAGGGGAAAAAAGTCAACAAAGTGTGCATTAATGAGCAGGCTATCTTGGATTATTCTGTTGTGTGTTTTTTTCCTAACTTTTAAGCTGGGTTGGTTTTATTCGCCCTCTGTTTCCACTCTCCCTCTATTACTGATTTATATGGTGCTATGAATATTTCCTTGAACACAGATTTAGATGAATCTCAAATGTTTTAAATGTAGTATTTTTATTATTTTTTAGAAAATATGAAATTTATATTTGTATTTTGCTTTTGAACCAGTAATTAGTTGAAAATTTTGAAATTTTTAAACAGAAGGACTTGTTTGTTTTCTGACTGTGTTATTAATTTTAGATTTGTTGCATTGTTATCTGAGAATATTTATGTTCTTGGTACCTTTTAGAATTTATTGTGTTTTTTTTGTGGCCAAATAAGTAATCAGTTTTCATTAATGTTCACTGTATACCTGAAAAAGATAATTCTCTATTTTTAGGGTATAGAGCTTGACATATGTAAATATTCCATAAGATTTAATTTATTGATTTCATTCATTTTTGTTCATTTGGTGTTTTTTTAGGCAGAGGACAAAGTCTCTGTTTTTTCCTAAAACTTTTTATATCTCCTATAATTTTTGCTTTAAGAAAGTTACTCTTGTTATTTTCTGCATAATTACTCATATCTGTTCTATCATCATTTAAACTGTATTCTTTAACATTATAAAGTACTCTTCTTTATCTCACTTTATTCTTTGGTCTTTTTCTGAAATTGAGAGTTTGATGAATTCTTTCTTTTTATTTGTATTTGCTTAATTTACCCTTGTTCATTCTTTATTTGCAACTTTTTTCAATCATTTTATTTTAGTTATATCTCTTACATACATAATAAAATTGAGTTTTGTTCTGATCAAATCTAATTTGATCTAACCGGTAGATTAAGCCTATTTGCATTTATTTATATGACAGCTATGTTTGATCTTAATATGATTTTCTTCCACTTTCTGTTTACATGTCATACACATGCAAATATATAGACATAAGTATAAATGTATATACACACACATAGATATGTATTGTGTGTATGTATATATGTATATACATATATATGCTTTTTAATGTGTGGTTTGTTTTTACTCATTTTTTAAAAATTATAGTTCTTATAGTTAGGAAACTTTGCATTTGTATACTAGTGGTGTATTTGTTATTTGTTGCTGCTTAACAAATTACCACAAAATTAACAGCTTAAGAAGACACACATTTATTATCCACAATATCTGTGGGTCAAGAGTCTGGGTATGGCTTAGCTGGGCCTTTTGCTTCAAGGTCTTTTATGAGATGTTGGCTAGGGCTGGCATCTCATCTGTTACAAGGGAAGGATCCACTTCCAACCACACATGGATGTTGGCAGGACCCAGTTTCTTGAAGGTTGTCAGACAGAGGGCCTCACTCTCCTGCTAACTGCTAGCCAGAGGTTACCCTCAGTTCCTTACAACATTGGTTTCTCCATATAGTGGCTGTCTACATCAAAGTCGGTAAGGGCGTATGTCAATGGAAAGAGTTTACTAGCAAGATAGAACTTGGAATCTTCTATAATCACAGAAGAGACATCCTATCAAATTTACCATATTCTGCTGGTAACTCAGCTATGCTTTATTCTTTCTCACTTCCATACCTGTGTTACTACCATTCCTACTGCCTTGACTGACATATTTCTCTGAACTCCAAATAAAGAGACTATATAATATCCACTGCTAAAATTAACCTAACATAAAGACTGGCCTTTCTAGCTGTCTGTCTCTTAAACTACTATTTTTGGGTTGTCTTTTCTCCTCAAGTTTTGTGGTTTGTTGTTTCAGATGGTGATATGAAGACTGAGATCACAATGTTAGGCATGAAGCAGGAATTTTGTGAAGTAACAGAACCACATAGGGAGGAGTTAGATGGATGTAATGAAACTGTGTCTCAGCGTGCCAAACATAGAAGAGACAGTGAGCCTAATGGCAATTTGGAATTGCACAATGAGGATGCCACGGGTGAAAAAATATATAAATGTGATGAGTGTGGGAAAACTTTCACCTGGATCAGAGGCCTTCAGATACATAGGAGGATCCATAATGGAGAGGAACCATACCCATGGACAGAATGTGGAAAGGCCTTCATCACACGTGCAAAACTTACCCAGCATCAGGGGCTTCACAGCAAGAAAAAACCCATAAATGTAAAGAGTGTAGGAAAAGCTTCAGTGAAAAGACAGGACTCTTCCAACATCTTAAAATCCACACTGGAGAAAAGCCCCATCAATGTAGTAAATGTGGCAGATGTTTTAGTTGGAGATCAGTTCTTACGAAGCATCAAAGTCTCCACACTGGAGATAAACCTTTGGAATGTATGAACTGTGGGAAAGCCTTCTGCCATAGTTCACACCTCACTGAACATCAGTAATTCCACAACAAAGAGAAACCTTATGAATGTAATGAATGTGGGAAAGCCTTCAGGCAGTGTTCACCTCTTATTAAATATCAATGAATTCACAGTGAAGAAAAACCCTATGAATGTAAAGTATGTGGAAAAGCCTTCACTCAGTATGCCGGACTTAACCAACACCAGAGAATCCACACTGGAGAGAAACCTTTTGAATGTCCTTATGTGGACGAGCCTTTAGCTGGAGCTCAGAACTAATAATACATCACAGAATCCACTCAAGGGAAAAATCCTATGAATGTGCTGAGTATGGAAAAACCTTTAATGTGAGCTCAACCCTAATCATACATCAGAGAAGTCACACTGGGGAAAAGTCCTATAAATGTGATGAGTGTCTGAAGCCTTTAGTCAATGTTCAGGCTTAATAAACACAAGTTAGGAGGCAAGCATGGAAACTCTCCTGAGCCTAGAAAATATAAATGTGATAAGTGTGTAAAGACCTTTACTCGGTCAACTGGCCTGAGGAACCACAAAAGAATCCACACTGGGGATAAGACATACCAATGTCCTGAGTGTGGAAAGGCCCTCAAAAGGGGAGAGGATCTTATAGAACACCAGGGGATTCACAACAAAGTGAAGCCCTATCAGTGTCAAGTGTGTGGCAAAGCCCTCAGTCAGAAGACAGGTCTTAGTTACCATCTCAGAATCCCCCCAGGAAAGAAACCTTTTGAGTGTTCTGAATGCAGGTGAGCTTTCTGCTGGAAGTCAGATCTCAACAAACATGAAAGAGTCCACTCTGAGGAAAAACCCTATAAATGTGAAGAGTGAGGGAAAGCCTAGGGGCAGAGAGCAACCCTGGTTCAACATCAGAGAAGCCACATTGTGCCAAGACCTGGGAGTGGGGTGAGTGGCGCAAAGCCTGCAGTGGAAGCTCAGCCCTGATTAATCACCAGAGAATCCACTACAACTGAACACCTTGCCCATGTGTTTGGTGACAGCTTCAAGTAGTATCCAGGATTTTTTCTTACTGAGACAAACTGTTTCTTGAACTTCATTGTTTAAGAACATCACGGATGCCACATTTAAGACTTTTTATAAAAATCATAAATACTGTGAAAGTTGAGAATTTAGGAAAATAAACATCAAGGAATTTACCTGCAATTACCTTTTTTAAATGCAATGAAGTATCAGTGCAACAAAAAAGTATACAAGGGCAGTTGTTTAAAAAATATATTTTTCTACTGAATTCTGTTTATTTTGTTTTGAAGTCATTTCAATTTCTGACTAACTTTAACATAGCCTAGTGTTGAAATTACTTGTTTGAGTACCAGTTGAAGACACTGGAATATCTAAGAGCTTGGAATGTGCGAGGTACGTTGTCTCTGTTTCTTTCCTACTTTGGCTACCTGACCAAGCAAGCCACAATCTAGAAGATGAGTTAAAGACCCTTCCACATCTCAACTCCAGAATCATCATTTCTTAGTGAAAAAAGGATGTGTAATATTCTAAGTAGTGTGGAGGACATAGCAATTTTGGCCCCTAGTAACTCAAAATTTAGTGGCGCCATCATGGCTAAAGCCCAGGGTATATATTTTCCATTGTGAACACAGCTCCTTGAGTTCAAATGGAAATGGACAAACCTTTCATTTCAGCATTTTCACCCTCCTACAAATTATATTTCCTCAACTGAAACCCCTTTCAACTTCAGCACTAACTATGTCCCTCACTGGTCAAGGATATGAGGGACTTCTTTGCCGAAGCTGATAATCATTTTCAAACACTGGAAGAATTGCATTTCTTTGTGCTAGTCACAGTGTAACAGCTCTAGACATGACATACTTTTAAGTTTACTCTGCATTGTTAACATTTTATCTAACATTTTCCTTAATCTGCACAGCCAAGAAAACAATAAACCGAGCCCTGATTTGAAGTGTTTGCCAATATCCAGCTTTCTGTGGTGTACAGTACTTGCACCATGGCTGGTTACTAGTCAAATCACTGAAGTCATGGAGTTGAGAAGAGATGTGGGGTAGCACAGGATTATAGATTCTTTCTACTATATAGATATACAGACAACCTCAAGAGCAGAAGTAATAGTAAAATGTAGTAAATTGGGATTGATATATTTTGAGTATATATTACCTTTTAATAATTAAATTGTAGCTGAGCATGGTGGTGCACCCCTGTGGTTCCCAGCTACTTGGGAGGCTGAGGTGGGATGATTGCATGGGAGTTCGGGGCTGTAGTGAGCTGTTATCACACCACTGTACTCCAACCTGGGTGACAGAGTGAGACCCTGTCTCAAAAAATATTAATAATTTAGTTGTCAGTTTTAATAATGTATTTTTTAATGTCTTACAGAATTCTGGAAAATTTAACACTCAAGCTCTGAGTCTCTTTGGTCAGGCTCCTACCCACCACTAATTCATGTTGCCTGTATTTGTTCCTTTTTATGGCTGAGTAGCATTCCATTGTGTGGATAAGTTACAATCTGTTCTCCGCTGCTATCATTTTGTCATTTCAGTAGTATTATATAAATCATGTAGTATGTAACCTTTTGCGATTGGCTTTTTGCACTCACTGTAATTTGTTAGATATTTATCCAGGTTGTTGGGTATATCAATAACTTGTTCCTTTTTGATGCAGAGTGGTAGTTCATGGTATATGCGTACCAAAGTTTGTTTAATCATTCATCATTGAAAGATCTGGATTGTTTCGAGTTTTGGCTATTATGAATAAAGCTGCTGTGAACATTCATGTACAGGTATTTGTGTGAGCATAAGTCATCATTTCTCTGCAATAATGACCAAAAATGCAATTGTCAGGTCATCTGGTATAGTCACATATTTAGTTTTTTGTTTTTTGTTTGTTTGTTTATTTGTTTTTTTTATTTTGAGACTCTGTCACCCAGGCTGGAGTGCAGTGACATGATCTTGGTTCACTGCAACCTCCGCCTCCCGGGTTCAAGCAATTCTCCTGCCTCAGCCTCCTGAGAAACTGAGATTACAGGCACCTACCACCACACCTGGCTAATTTTTGTTTTTTTAGTAGAGATGGGGTTTCACCATGTTGGTCAGGCTAGTCTCAAACTCCTGGCCTCAAGAGATCTGCCCACCTCAACCTTCCAAAGTGCTGGGATTTCAGGTGTGAGTCACTGCGCCTGGCCACATGTTCAGTTTTTTTTTAAAGAAACTACCAGACCTTGGTGGGTGCCTGTAGTCCCAGCTACTCGGGAGGCTGAGGCAGGAGAATGGCGTGAACCTAGGAGGCAGAGCTTGCAGAGAGCCGAGATCGCACCACTGCACTCCAGCCTGGGAGACACAGCAAGACTCTGTCTGAAAATAATAATAATAATAATAAAATAAAAAGGAAAAAGAAAGAAACTACAAGACTTTTCCAGAGTAGCTCTACTATTTTACATTCCCACTAGCAAAATATAAGTGATCTAGTTTCTCTACATTTTTTTCTATCATTTGGTGTTTGTCTCTGTTTTTATCCTAATAGGTATTCTGATAGAACAGTAATTTCTTACTATGCTTGTAACTTCCATTTCCCTAATTGTTAATGATGTTGAACATTCTTTGGTAAAATGTCTTTTCATATCTTTTGCCATGTTCTGATTGCTATCTTACTATTCATTTTTGAGGGTTTTTTATATATTATAGAAACTAGTATCATCAGATATGGGTTCGTATTTTCTCCCCATTTGCAACTTTATCTTTTTATCCTTCTAAGAGGACCTTTAACAGAGCACAAGTTTTAAATTTTTATCAAGTCCCAGTGGTCAATTCTTCCTTTTATGGATCATGTTGATGGTATCAAGTCTAAGAACTCTTTGCCTAACCTTTAGATCCTAAAGATCTTCTATGGCTTTTTTTCATAAAAATTTTATAGTTTTACATTTACTTTTTTTTTCTTTTGGTTTTGTTGAAACAATGTCTTACTCTGTTGCTTATGTGGGAATACAGTGGCATTATGACAGCTCACTGCAGCCCTGACCTTCTGGGCTCAAACAACCCTTCCCCCTCAACCTCCCAAATAGCTAGGACTACAGATGTGTGCCACCACAGCTACTGAAACGATCCTCCAGCCTCAGCCTCCTAAACAGCTGGGACTAGAAGTGTGCACCACCATGCCTGGCTAAGTGTTTTAGTTTTTTGTAGAGACGGTCTTACCATGAACCTTGACCTAAGTATCATGTCTTATATACAAATTAACAAAAAATGGATCATGGATTTAAAAGTTAAATGTTGGCCAGGCACGGTAGCTCCCACCTGTAACCCCAGCACTTTGGGAGGCTGAGGCAGGAGCCCAGGAGCAACCTGGGCAACATAGAAAGACCCCATTTCTACAAAAAATAAAAATAGCAACATGTGGTGGTGCATCCCTATAGTCCCAGCTATTCAGGAGGCTGAAGCTGGAGGAGTGTTTAAGCCCAGGACATCGAGGCTGCAGTGAGCTGTGATCACACCACTGCACTCCAGCCTGGGTGACAGTGAAACTCTGTTTCGAAAAAAAAATTAATAATTTTGAGCTCAATTTCCTTGGTATTTATTAGGACATTAAAATTATTTCATATTGGATGAGTTGCGATAGTTGGTGTTTTTCAAAGAATTGGTCTATGTTGTTAAATTTATTGTGTACAGTCTGGGCGCAGTGGCTCACGCTTGTAATCCCAACAACTTGGGAGGCCAAGGCAAGATTGCTTGAGGCTAGGAGTTGGAGACCAGCCTAGGCAACATAGCAAAACCCCCATCCCCACAAAAAAATTTAAAAATTAGCTGGGCATGGTGGTGAACACCTATAGTTATAGCTACCCAGGAGGATGACAAGAGGATCATTTGAGACTAGGAGTTCCAGTCAGAAGTGAGTTATGATCACATACACCACTGCACTCCAGCCTGGGTAACAGAGCAAGACTTTGTCTCAAAAATAGAATAAATATATATGTAGAGAATTGTTCATAGTATTCCCTATTATCCTTTTGGTGTTTGCAGAGTCTGCTGTGATAGCTCCTGTTTCATTGTAGTCATTGGTCATTTGTGTCCTCCCTAATTTTTTATTTATCAATCTTACTAGAGGTTTTAATTTATTGATCTTTTCAAAAAACCTGCTTTTTGTTTTATTGATTTTGTTATAGTTTTTAAATTTTTCCATTTGAGTTTTGCTCTTATTTTTATTATTTGATTCTTTCTGCTTGCTTTGTGGTTTTCTTCTTCTTTTTCTAGGCTCTGGAAGTGAAAGTTTCAATTATTGATTTGAGACTTTTTCTCTTTTCTAACATATGCACTTAATGCTATAAATTTGCTGCTTCTGCTTTAGCTGTGTCCTACAAATATTATTGTTTTACAATTTTCATTTAGTTCAATGTATTTTTTCATTTTCCTTAAGACATCCTCTTTGGTTATTGACTTATTTAGGAATGTATTCAGTTTTCAAGAATTTGGCAGTTGTTCCCTATCTTTCTGTTATAATTCCTAGTTTGGTTTCCTTATGGATGCAGAACACATTCTAGTTCTTTTAAACTTGTTGAGGTTTGTCTTTTGGCCTAGGATATGATCCATATTGTTATATATTCTATGGGTACTTAAAAATAAATATGTGTTCTGCTGGTGTTGGGCAGACTGTTTTATAAATGTCTATTGGTTGGCTGATGGTATTGTTCAGTTCTTCTGTATCCTTGATGATTTTCTGTCTAGTCCTATCAATTGTTCTCTAATATAATTGTGGATTTGTCTCTCTCTCTTTTCAGTTCTATCAGTTTTTCTTCACATATTTTGCCTACCTATTCTTTGGTACAGATACATTTAAGATTATTACGTCGCATTAGTGAATTCACTCTTGTCATTATGTAATGTCCCCTCTGTGACTGGTACTTTTCTTTGTTCTGTAGTCTACTCTATCTCACATTAATATAATTGCTCCTCCTTTACTTTAACTGATATTTGCATGGTCTACCTTTTTTCATCCATTTACTTTTTTTTTTTTTTGAGAGGGAATCTCACTCTGTCACCCAGGCTAGAATGCAGTGGTGCGATCTTGGCTCACTGCAAAGTCCACCTCCCCGGTTTAAGTGATTCTCCTGCCGCAGCCTCCTGAGTAGCTAGGACTACAGGCGCAAGCCACCACACCTGGCTAAATTTTGTATTTTTAGAAGAGACAGGGTTTCACCATGTTGGCCAGGCTGGTCTTGAACTCTTGACCTCAGGTGATCCACCTGCCTCGGCCTCCCAAAATGCTGGGATTACAGGCATGAGCCACTGTGCCTGGCCCCATTTACTTTTTTGTTTTTTGTTTTTTTTTTTTAGATGGAGTCTTGCTCTGTCACCCAGGCTGGGGTGCAGTAGCATGATCTTGGCTCACTGCAACCTATGCCTCCTGGGTTCAAGTGATTCCTCCTGTCTTAGTCTCCTGAGTAGCTGGGATTACAGGTGCCTGCCACCATGCCCGGCTAATTTTTGTATTTTTAGTAGAGATGGGGTTTCACCATGTTGGTCAGGCTGGTCTCGAACTCCTGACCTCAAGTGATCCTCCTGCCTCAGCCTCCCAAAGTCCTGGGATTACAGGTGTGAGCCACTGCATCTGGCCTACATTTAATATACTTACATTATTATATTTGAAGTGAATTTCTTGTAGACAGCATATACTTGGTGCCGTTTTATTTTTTCCTTTTTGTTTGTTCTCTGTGTTGCATTTTCTTTCTTTTTTTTTTTTTTTCCTGCTTTCCTGTGGGTAACTGGGACTTTTTTTTAAAGTCCATTTTGATCTGTATATGTGTGTGTGTGTGTATGTGTGTGTGTGTATCTTTGTATGGCATTTTTAGGGGATTCTCTATATATTGCATTTTATGTATTTAAGTTGTCACAGTCTACCAGTGTCAAGTTCCCATAAAGTATTTCCATACTTACCTTTCCCAACTTATAATTCTTGTAAATACATACTCTACATACATTTAGAATTACTTTAGACAGTGTTGTAGTTTTTACTTCAATCATCAAACACAATTTAGAAAACTCAGGAGGAGAAGGAAAGTCTATTACATGGCCAACTCTTGTTGTTGTTGTTGTTGTTGTTTGCTTTTTAGAGACAAGGTCTCACCCCGTCAGGCCAGAGTGAGGTGGTATGAACATAGCTCATGGCAGCCTCAAGCTCCTAGGCTCAAGCGATCCGCCAGCCTCAGCCTCAGCCTCCCAAGTAGCTAGGACTACAGGTGAGTGCC